TCTCTCTCTCTCTCTTTCTCTCTCTCTCTCTTTCTCTTTCTCTCCTCTTTTTTTTGTTGTCTCACTTCTTGCTTTCCCCGTGTCCCTTCTTAACTTTCACCCCGTCCTCCACCCACTGCCTATCTCTCGAATCCCGTTATCTATCTTGCGCCAACCATAATCGCCTTCGTTTTCTCTATCCGAGTAATGAGCTAGCCGCAGCCTAGGACATATGTCATGCTCTCGGCATGGACTGGCTTGATCCGATCTCACTAGCGAAGATTTAGTACCTGATCTGTTCTCTAGCAACTGGCGATGCATTACCCGCGGTTTCTTCCTGCTTCCAACGCAGTTTCTCGCCACCGCTCAAATGCCAAATCAACCTCCAAGCATGGGGGGCTGTCGTGATCCAGCGCGCCTCTCTACGGATATGTATTCGAGGTTCGCCCGGTCGAAGCAACAACATCCGAGGCAATCAAGAAAGCAGCTCGAATCCCCCCGGTCACGCAGCATGGCCAGTCCAAAAAACGAGGGGACACGACATTTCATGTTGTGTCTGTCGCCACGAGGAGGAAGAAACTGGACGCTTCTTAAAGTTTATGTGGTGCAAGTTTCAATACCCTGGGGTCATCTGCCCGGCTGTCTCCCGGATGCTCCAGTCACTCCCCCAGCGGCGATGTCTGATTCATGTCTACATGGGCCAACACCAACAGGATGGGTCGTGATAGTCTGAGTCGCGTTATAGCTGTAAGTGGTGGACGGACAAGGCGTCGGAGTTGGCGATCAATCAGAGTGAGGAGCAAAACAAAAATCAGGCCTAAGCCAACTTTTACGTGACCCCGTATTTGCTTAGGCCTGCACCATCCACCGGCATCTTACTGCCACTGATACACTTCCAGTTTGTTTTCGAGAGCCCGAATCCAGCTGGCTGGAAGGCAAGTTGAAGGCATAGCACAGCAGGGAGCTATCGTGTATCGTTTCACGGCGCCCGGCATCGGATCTGCCACCTTGTGCTATGAACTCATCGGCCATGGGGACTTGGCTAACCTTAGCAGACACCGGATCCGGCTTGGTTCTCTCGAGCACCGTTGGGATTACCAGGGTCCCGAGTGCGCGACCCGTTGTTTCCACTGAAGCCGAAATTGAATAGGTAGAATATGGAACCGCATCCGGATAGGAGGTAATGCAGCCCGCCGGCTCCCCACGTGTAATGCAGAAGGGTATGTGCCATGTATGTGCCTGGCAGAGGCAGACGGTTGCAATCGGGCCACGAGGCTCTCCTCCATCCGTCAACGGAAACTGGGACGGGAGTTGAAGGGGGAAGCGGAATTGCCCACTACCTAGCAGGAAGACGGTAAGGACGAGTCAAATACTCCATAATGCGTGTCTGATTATCGATGCCCAATCCGAACTTGTTCTCCTCAAGTAAAGGACTAAGATACACATGAAGAAGTGGTTTACCATTTGAAGAATCCCAGGGATGACGACAAGTGGTTGCTGATCAAAAACGGCGGAAGACTGGACCCTTGTGGGGCTCGTGATCCTCGGGGGTGTGGACCCTCACGCCCAACTTGTGTGCGTCACAGCGATCTCGAGAAGATGGAGGGCCGGCGAAAGCACGATAAGGCTCAAACGCCTATTGGTAGACTTCGTGCGACAGAGGAAGGCGATGTTTGCGAATGGGTTCCAAGACTTGAGGGTAATCGGTCCTGTCGTCTTGAACCTCTATCTCGTTAAGGTAGTCTATGGAAGCAGTCACCGATCCCATCGGGCACCCTTCTGGGGGATTTGGACGTCATCCTTCAAGGGACTTGGCAGCGCAGTCATTGAAAAGCTGTCGGGAGGGCTTCATCAAGTACACTGCCGAGAGTACCATCTACCTAATCAAGGACTCGACGCTTGGTGGAGGCCAGCGCTGCTAGGATGCACGGCGCAAACGAGACTGCCGGGTTCATATGGGGGATGAGGCTCGCAGTGCAACAGCATCACGAAGTGGGCAGGGCACTTAGCATATAACGTTATCCGTACTTGGCTCTGAAGAAACCGATCAGGTCTCCTGTGCGACGAGTGATGGGAAAGGAGAAGAAGTTGTTGGATTTAATTCGTCCCCACCTGAGAAAGTCCATGCTGGCCGACAAGCTCCAGCCTTGTCCGAGCATCGTCCTGTCCAGGACAGGAAACTTCCTCTCCTCGCCGGGCAAGGTGAGAGAGCTCAGCAAACGAGGTCAGATAAACGGCCGGGCGCTCGGGCAAAGCAAGGATAGATTTGGACAGCTTGGCGGAATACAGGCTGTTCGAAGGCAAACATCAGACGGACATAAGGGACTCCACTTCCCATGTGGTTCTTGTTCCAATTTCCTTGGAAGGACAGGATGAGAAACCGAATTCATAGTACCCCTCCAAAGCCAAAAAATCAGGGCGCCATCGGCAACCCCGCGGCGGCACATGACCGGACACCTTACATCTCCAGTTGTCAAAAACCTATTACTCCAATCCCTTCATGTTGAAAAAGCTGCTCGAGTTCTCCATATCTCGTACCTTAACATAGTACAGATGTAACTAAGGTATCATCCGGATTAGAAGTGCAGCGGCTGATCTTCCATCCGGCCCTTGAACCCCACCTTTACTCTCGCACACACACACCACGGACAAGAGCTCCTCCCACTGCGCCCCGAACAAGCAGCAAGACGCACACACACAATCACTTAACTGCCACCCTTTCCCTCCCCAAAAACCACCGCTCCACGTGTACAGTCACCGCTCTTTTTCTCACAGCTTCCCCGACATTGACTCGTCACAGCGGTGACTCGAGATCCTCGGGACAAACCTCGTCAGACACACACGGAGAGACAAGTTGCCCATCCGTACCCTTTCTACGGCCCGGTGGGATCCCGCCGCAACCATGGCCGACCCTTCCCGGTATCGATACATGGACTCTGCGGGGAGGCGATCGCCTCCCCTCTACAACCCAGCCCGCTCCTCCATGCCCGTCACCGGGGGCGGCTACAGCTCGCTCTACAGCGGAGACCTCCATACCATGTCGGCCTCCCACCACGGGGCGCTGCCCCGGCAAGAAGAGTACCGCACGAGTACGGTCCCCCTCAGCGCAACCACATATGCCGTAAAAAAGGAACCGCTCGGGAGGAGCACCAGCGTCAACGAGGGCCCTCGAGTTCACCGCATCCACGACCAAAACCACAAGCGGCCAATCATCGTCACTACGAAGCACCACCCGCCCGCCCCGCGATCGGACAGCCCATCGCGTGACCCGTACCGATCGAGCGACGAGGGACAATACTATGCCGAGCCCGCCTCCTCCATCCCTCGCGGCAGAGCTGCCGGTCACGTGCCCACGAGCGTCGCCATGGACGAGGACGAATACCGGCGTCTGAAAAATAGGACTCACCATGACAGATTGAGCAATCGTGGCGCCGAACACTATCGTCCTGCCCGCTCCGGGCCGCTCTACGCCGGGTCGAATCATCGTAGTCACACGCTTGACTTTGAAGATGACGGGTACGAGTACACAAAACCCAGCGACCTTGCGAGATACGACCTGGACCACGACGATCAGCGCCACAGAACTCGTCGTGAGAGCCTCGATCGATACTACCGCCCAACCGTCAGCATCAGCACAGATCTGGCCCGTCCCCTCGACCAGGCCGACAGACGGGCGCGTGGTCCGCCGCCAACAACACGGGGTTTGGACAAGGTGGGCTGGACGACGGCTGGTGGCATCTATGATGGCGCCGGCTCTCGCATGCCGCTGCCACCAACTACCCCTCTGGTCCCCGACGTGCGCCGTTCGGGTCTCCTTGAAACCCCAGGAAGTCCCAGGCAAGAACATCGCGGCGGCCCGCGCCCGCTGTCGATGATTCAGGACAATCTTGGTCGGCCCAGCCATCACGAGGATTACTATTATGACGATATCCGCCACCGCGATCATGACTTGTTTCAGGATGACCGCGTCACCGCTCGCGGTTTTGGTATCCTAGTTGACCCCAAAGATCATGACGAGCATCACAGACCCTCTGAGAAGTGGTATTGGGAGGAACGTCGCGAGCGTCGTGAGCCCCCGAGACACTTTGACACCCGCGAGCCGCTGAGGCGGTCAGATGATGACCTCGAGATAATTCGACACGAATACGATGACCGGGATCATACAAGGCACCGTGAGCACGAATACGTGGTGGATAAACAAGAAGTCAGGCGCGACAGGGAAGACCGGCGATCTGACGATGATGAACACAACAACAACAGGAGGAACAGTGGGAAAGTCAGGGACAAAGTCGCAGCTGGTCTTGGACTTGCCGCCGCCTCTATCGGCCTCAAGTCTGCAGCGAGAGGCAGGGACGATAAAGACAAAGTCAAAGACCCGTCCCCATCAAGAAAATTTAGAGATCAAGAGGTTGAAACTTTCAAGCACGCGGAGGTTGACGCTCGATCAAGACCAGCAAAAAAGGAGCCCTTGCTTGACGACGAAGACTTTGAAATTGTTGAGCATCCAAGGGATCGCGAGAAACGACGGGACGAGAAGGTGACCGAAGGCGAAGCCCAACAGTCCAGAGAGAAGCGTGACGCTGCTGCTGCTTCGTCTCGTGATCACTCGTCGTCCATGGATGAAGGAAAGACAAAGTCTCGCCGGCGTCTTCGAGCTTCCTCGTTCGACCCCAACGACACTGCCGCTCTCGCCGAGATGAAGGCGCGGCTAGCGGAGCTCAAGGCCAAGGAGAATCCACGGCAGATCGAGCGTGATAGCACCGATGACAAGGAAGGCCGCACCGCCCCAGACGCACCCCAGGCTAAGGGTGAACCCTCTCCGGAACGCAAACCATCACCTGTGGAGAAGAAGCCCGAGACGGATCCCGATGCCTCGGCCGTCGTACGCAAGGTTGATGACGACAACAACAACAACAACGGCCGCGACCTTGCGCCTCTGCCGCGGGACGAGAGGCAAGTCCGGGTGGTCCCGCCGCCCAAGGAGCAGGCGGGGCCCGTCGAGAAGAAACCCATCAAGGGCATCCTCAAGCCGCCGCGGCCGCAGTTCCCTGAGGAGCCGAATCCTGTGCGCGAGGGCGTGGCCCCGCACAAGGACGACAAGACCAAGGCGGCGACGGTGCCGCCCGGCGCGCGGTGGACCAAGATCAGCCGTAAGATGGTCAACCCAGAGGCGCTCAAGATCGGCAAGGAGCGGTTTGAGGTCCGGGACGATTTTGTCATTGTGCTGAGGGTGCTGAGCAAAGAGGAGATTCAGGCGTATGCGGCAGCCACGGCGACTTTGAGAGGTAGGTTCTACCCTGCTATATTTAAGAGCTTGTGAGTGGGATGGGCAATATCGGGGTGCTAACATGGCATAATCTGTGCAGAGCGCCGAAAGCGTGAGATGCGTGACGAGGTCGAGCATGATGCCGACGACCGTGACCATCACCTTGTTGAGGACGGCAACGACGAGAAGACGCGGCGGCATCGCCAGCATCGGTTACGAGATAGGGAGGAGGATGACACCTTCGAAAAGCAAGAGCCTGGGGACAGGGATAATAGGAATAGGGATAGGGATTGGGGGAGAGAGCGGGAAAGGGAAAGGGAGAGGGAGAGGGAGAGGGAGAGGGAAAAGGACAAGGACAAGGATAGGGAGAAGCATCGCCGCCATAAGCACGAGTCGGATGCTGAGGGTGATGATGGGCATGAAGCAAGGCGCCACGGGGGCCATCACAGGTCGCACCGGGAGTAAAGGGGGGTTACGGATCTATACGACGGGTATGAGACACGATGTCATGATTGGGCTCTCTTCTCTTGCTCAGCAGCTTTGGGTGATGAGTTCTGGGTCTCGAGCGGAATTTCGAAAAAGCAATCATGTATGACGGATCTAATCCTGATACTCTGGGCGGCGTTTTGCTGGATATGTTCGCTTTTGGATGCCTGGATTAGGAGGAGTTGAAAAGGAGATTTGGTGCTGCTGGGACAGAGTCCTGCAAGGAAATTGGTTTATAAGTGAACGTTATGGCTCATACCGACGATGCTATGGTTTTGTCGTTGATGTGGTAGTCTGCTCGTTCCTCGATCCCGACTCCTTTCCCTGTCTTATGTTGGTGTTGAGGACTACTTACTTGGGACTTGCATGCTCTGGGGCAATCTTAGCTACGTACGAGTTGAGTTGCAACAATGGCGAGAATTTCTACCGGCACTGTGGGCTGGGGTGAGAGGTGCGAGAATATGCTGCTTTCAGTGATGAGAAGAGGATTTGGTCATTGTCATCCCAACCGACCTAAACAAACTTATCAGACATCCTCCATGTTATATTATTATCAGCAGCTTGGCGATTGTTTCTTGGATTCATTACTAGGTCCTTCCGGCTCCGTCATAGTACCCTTATCCTGCATGGTCAAGCCCAAGAATAGCCTAGCATCGAACAAGAACAACACAGCCTCAAGACAAGCAAGGGTAGGCACGTAAGTGGCCCCCCATATGTGTGGATGTCTCCAGGAACAATCGCCGCTTGATACAACTCTAAATCCTACATATGTGATGGTTATATACGTGCTATATAATCACGAGCTCTCACTGCCCAGCTGTATCTTCATCGCCACTGTTTGTTGGAGCTGAGGAGGTAGAAGGACTCCTCAACGCAATCGAGATGCGCCAGTGGCATGGTTGAACTTGTCCATCAACCGGAACATCTCCCACTGGTAGTCAGTCGTACTAAGTAATGAGCAGGTAGCTCTTCCACGGAAAATGCGGCCAGAGTACACAGGTACGAGCCCTCCGCCCTGCATCTTGCGTGCTTTGTAAACAGAAGAAGTTCCCGGTTCATGACTTGTTTCCTCACATCTTCTCTTAGATTTAGCATCATACTCGGGGAGAACGCCAAACAATGTCTAGCTACTAAAATACTGTTTTGACTTTCCAGTTCGGCGTTTGGAGACTGAAGCCTTGGAAGCGGAACTTGTCCGGCAGTGTTAGCTGGCCCGGGGTTTTCACATGCCTGCCGGGAATATCAGGCGCATGTAATTCCCTGCCGGATGTTAGCTGGCTCAGACTCGATCACAGTGTTTCCAGGAAGCTGCGTACAACGTCCGCGAGCTACTTCAATACCTCCAGACGCAAACTTTGCTCTGTCAGGGAGCCAAGGGTTTGAAGATATTGGCATGCTGAACGAGATGCATGCGAGGATATGTACTAGGGAGCTTCTTCCGACAAAACTCCAGTTTCCCGCTACACTACCGACCTGGTTAGCTAAATCTTGTTATATGGCATGCCGTGATATGAGAACGTTCCTCCTCTGTCCATTCCTAGAATCGCCAAGCGGTTTTGATATGCCTAATGCATATGGGGAAGATGTAGTTGATATCAAGATGTCGCGTCTTGTGCCATAACACCGCGGTCCCAAGCGAAGGCTTGCCGACAGCAGGGCAAGGCACATAACAACGGGGGTTCCAGGGGTAGGACGACCCCAGCCCCTGGTCAACACTCACCGAGGTGAATAAGTGAAGCAGGCACACCCAACCGTTGGACAAGGCTGGGCGCATGTTCCCTTGCGGCAAGGAAGTGTGGCCGCGACCGCGCCTGCCCCTGACCGTTGCATGATGCGTACCAGTGAAGGATCCAATGCCATCGACAGTACCTTACCCTTGTCATCTTCTGGCAGCCGAGAGACCCAATGTCTTGTACACCTTCCTTCACAAGGGCTTACAGTAAACGGGACGAACTCATGGGCCAAAAGGCATGGTATCATCACCTTAGAAGTACGCGGATATCACGTCGGCGGCCCTGTCAGTTAGCGGCGCAGCTACCAGGATTTGTACGGAGGCACCAGTTACATGTCTTCACATACCGTAACAGTAAGCCAGGAGAGGGCACGATCGTATATACATGTAAGGTAGATAGACCAGAAAGAGGAATGTTGCAGTTGGCGTACTTGTACAAAGTATACATAAAGCTTGAACCCACGGACAGGCTTGGTGTCTCGATGGTGACATGTCCCACTGCGTTCCATCCCATCTTCAGGAAGGAGCAACAAAATGATGACCACTCCAGGTGGCAAGGGGAGTGAGCGTCCTGCTATGCCATCGCCGATATTCATCAGCTTCCGGAAGCCAAGTTTGTGAATTCCACATCCTTATTGCTTGCTCAAGATTTTGTTATATCCGTAAGCAGCGGAGGAATTTCAGGGTTCAGTACTCACACACACCCACTGCCCGAGCAACTAAAAGGAGAAGGGTAAGATTGGCCTGACTGGGGGAGATATTGTAACGCGTAAACATCGCCCTTTCCAGACGTTAGTTGGACAACAAGTTATGAGAAAGTTGGATATTCCTGACGAGTCATCTGGTTTGAGGCATGTCACGTAAAGTTCGTTTCGCTTTCGTCCGTAACATTCCCCTTGTGATCAGTTGCCGAAAATAGCACGAATTAGTACCGGACAGAGACGCCGCTTGGACTCAGACCGAAAGAGAATCGCACATCCATCATATTAGTAAGGCAACCACCTTACAATGAACTGCCTTACCAGGTAACTGCTCACACCTTGACCGCCGCGCAAGTTCGTCGTCATGAACTGCCAGTTGTGTACAGATTACAGTAAGCACCATTCGATCAAGGGAACTACTATGATATGATGGGTAATAAAAATCTCCATACGGAGTACCACGCTAACCCCGAATATAGGCTTTGGCATAGCCAGTAATACTGTGGATTTCTGCTTGGCCTTTACTAGCACGAAATATAAAACCCGAACTCGTTGGCGTTCCTCGATAGTAAGCTGTTTAGTGCCGCTGGATCCCTATGGCTCTGCCATCGTGCTGTTGTGAGTTGTTGAAAACAAGAGATGCTTTGGAAGAGGCTGTCAAAGTGGAGTTTCGGTGTGTTCAGCTGATTGGTCAAAACGCGTCAATGTGTTGTGCCCCACGAGTACTTGACTAGGGGGTTTTCTTTATGTACGCGACCACAGTAGCCTCCGTCGGTTTTTGATCGGCCATCCGGCCACCAATAACGAGTCACAAGTCCTCTCGGTAATACCGATGACGAAAGAGGGGTGTGGGCCGGGTTGAACGGATCATCATTTCCCAGACGCTATTGTCTGAGACACACTGATGTTTCTGGATTGAAGGACGGGGCACCTACACAGTACACCAGTAAACCACCACAGGCCCCGTGGGCGCGGTCATGCCATGTTTCAAAGCCGAAGCCTGGTCTTCACCTTTTTTTCCTTCGACGAGTCATGGCAATGCTGTCGGTTTATTTTGGTGAAGACCCAACGTTCCAGACACAGCTTGGATGTTGTTTGTCTTGAAACACAGCCCAGATCGTTGCCGTCTGGGTCTATGATTATGTCTTATCGGTGTCCTGTCAATACTAGGCGCTGCTTGATCCTGAGCTTTACGTCAGTCCCGTCGTCTGAGGCCTGCAGTCAACTGACTCGGCCTGGCCTCACGGTCGATCGAAAGGATCGCAGAGATCCTTGGATAGCCGAGATCCGCCATACCTCTCAATTTTTTGTATTTGTTTGATCCGTTCGGTGGCAACGGGCCATTGCTCAAGACAGCCCAAAAGCTGGAGCATTTCTCCGAGCTGTATTTATAGCCAGCAGAGGAGCACTGTCTACTCATTCGAAAGAATCCGAGATGGTTGACTCGACGTTGTTGGCGTGTCGTCTTGGCAATCAACGTTCCACAAGTTACACGCTCCCCGCGCATGGGGACATTCCTTCAGCCCCCCCTAGCTCCCCCCTGAGCTTCCCCAATTTCGGCAAGGCCGGTGGGACCGTAATGCAACACAAGCCAGGGAAGCTTCCCTGTGCAGCTTTCTTCACTGCCCTGTATGCTTATCATCCTGGAACAAGCACCAAGGAGCAACCAGGCCGTTCAGGTGCCCTGGTCTTCCCGTAAGGCTGGGAAGGGGGTGAAAAATTGGGGAATCCATGAAGGTTGGCGTCCACGAACACCAGGGATACACACCATTTCAAGCCACCGAGTCACTCTATTTTCTGATCTTTTGTCGACGTTTACACATCTCAGCGAACACCATTCTTGGCAGGGGTGATGCGACCTCGTCGGTTCCGTAATAAAAGACTCAAGAAATGACTTGATTTGATCGGCCCGGACGAACTTGAAGAGCGCGCGTAAGCATACAAGGTCTACCCCTAATCATCCCCAACTTCCTGGGCAACACGTACCTGGCATGTTGTTCTCGTGTGATTATCCAGAATACGAGCAAATAGTTATTTTCATCACTCAGTCTTCGTTGTCATTGAGAGGGCAATTTTGTCTGTGCCTACACGTGTCTCCTCGGTTGATGACACGATACAGATGCACTGACGGTGATGACTCAAACCATGAAATGAGGGCGGGCCGCGATGACAATACCGAGCGGTGATGCCGTCAGTTGACACCTTCCATGTCCTGAAGCTCTGATGAGCTGTCTGAGAGAGAGGGCATCTGATGTTCTCATCGGGAATTCATTCCGGTGAGAGCACCTTTCCAAAGCGCTGACTACCAGGCATCGCAACGATGTCATTGCAGCACACTGGGCAGCCAGCCTTCCGAGTCGGCGAGCTTGTGTTGATAAAAATGGAATGGTGCGGTGTCTGTCCCGATCCCGATATCAGAGCTCGGAGCAGCTTTAATAGAGGTGGGCAGCCGAGCTCGGTTTCGGACCAGAACGACGATCGTCGGTCGGTACGGTTACCTGAAATTTCTTGTAACTGTCCTCCATACAGAGTACCTTAGTGCTTTT